GGGTCTGCAAAACTCATCCATTATTCTAAAGAAATGTTGTGTACCTTCCTCTCCCAGGATTATTCCACCCAAGAGGCGTTCTGACAGCAGACCAGCATCCAGTGCCAGTCTGGACCTCTCTGTCACTGCATGGCCTGTCTTCCTTTAATAGATCACATCTTTCTTGTGCTTTCCTCAAGAATCCTATTTCCATGTATCTCTACCTACAAAAATTGTGTAGCTACATTTTGGAATATGTGCTTTATCTATTTTTTTTTTTTTTTTTTTAAGAATCATTTGTAAGTTGTAGACATGATGATATTTTATCTCTAAATACATCAACATGTATCTTTAAAACTAAGGACGTTCTGGATCTTGAAAACAGTATGCTGGGTGAAATAAGTCAGTCACAAAAAGACAAATATTGTATGATCGCACTTATAACAAATAGTTAATGTCTAGAGACCAAAGCTTATTAGTGTTTACCAGGAGTGGGAGCGAGGGGGAAGGGAGAGTCATTACTTAGGGGGCGCTGAGTTTCTGTTGTGGAGAATGGTGGTGGAATAATTTGGAAATGGATAGTGGTGATGGTTGCACAACATGATGAATGTAACCGATATAATTGAATTGTACATGTAAAGATGTTTTGTTGTATATATTTTACCAATAAATAAATAAACAATAAAAATAAAACAATAAATAAATAAACAATAAAAAATAAATCAGTGCCATACAATGAGAAAGAAAAAAAATAAGGACAGCCTCTTACAAAAATACAATTCTATTATTATACTAAGAAAATTAATAAGAATTCCCTAATGTTATCTAACATCAATGTTAAGTTCCCTCCATTTGTCCCCATGTGTCTATTATGGCTGTTTTTTTGAACTGGGACCCCATCCAGGTTCATGTATTGCATTTGGTGATTATCTCTTTAACCTAGAGGAGACCTCTACATCCTTTTTCAATGACATTCACTCTTCGAGTAGACCGAGCTAGTTGTCTTTACGTTAGACAAGTTAGACATTAGTAGACTGAGCTAGTTGTCTTTATGTTAGACAAGTTAGACATTAGACCAAGCTAGAATGGTTGGTGTTCGATGTTTATCTGATTGTTTCCTCGTGTTGTTGTTGAATGTGGTGCTTTAACCCCAGTGTTTCCTGTGTGTGGCAGTTAGGGCTAATGGTTTGGCTTGATCCTGGATTTTGGCATGAGCATGTCATTGTCAGTGCTGTGTGCTGCACATCCCAACCCAGCCCAGCCCGTCCTACCTGGAGGCACATGGCGGCAGGCTGTTTCATTGCTTGTAAGGCTAGGTGTGGCCACTGGGTTAAGGCGCTGGCCCACAGATGTTTTCAGTGGGAAGATACATTATCCCCTTTGCAAAGAATTCTGCGGGCCGTTCTTTGGCACCGCATGAATTTCTTTTCTCCAACGACCCTTCGTTCACCTGTTGTTTTAGCGTACTTGGCTGAGCTTTGCTTAGATAAACTATTTAATTGGAATTTTCGAAATGGTAATTTGTCTAATTCTATCATTTGGTCTCCTCTTATTAGCTAACATTCTTCTGTAAGAGAACTTTTCCTCATCAACTACTACAGATACTTCCTCCAAAGAAGACAGGGCAAATGTTCACTTTTTTCCCTTTTATTACTGATTTTCAGAGTAAGAAATTGGCGTAATAGTCGCTCCAAATTGGTAGTTGTGCTTTTGTATGTCTGTGTTTTTTTTTTCCTGTCTTTTGAGTATCACTCTTATCTCTTGGACTTTTATTTCTTAATTGTGTTACACTCATTATTATCACTTTGTGGTGCTGGCGTTTCCCCACACTTGGCCAGGAGAGTTTTTCAGGTTGACTGGTAAGGCCCTCTCATGTGCTCCAGTGGGACTCTGAGCACTCCCTTGCTTCCTAGAACAATACAGTGACCCTGGCTTGTCTTGTACCGTCTCTGCCTCAACCCTGGAATCAGCCGTTTCTTCTAGTAGCCTGGTCCTCGTGTGCTTTTGATTCCGGGGTATCATTGCTCCTAGGCCTTTTTCACTGGGCCCAGCTGGGGAATACATATTAACACTGAGTTCATATTGATATTCCCAACTCAGATTTCGAGTTTTTTTCTTAAAATAGTTTATTTGTATCTCTTTCTTCCTACAGTGAAAATGGTGGTTCCTGATATTATGTTTACTTGTTTACTTTGCCATATGGTTTATATTGTTGCTGGGTGCCATTGAATCAATTTCGATTCATAATGAGCCCATGTCACAGAGTAGAACTGCCCCATAGGGTTTTCTAGGCTGTGACATTTCAGAAGCAGATCACCAGGTCTTTCTCCCATGGAGAATGTATTTCCAAAATTACACTGCTAATGTTAATCCTAGCGGTACCTCAGAGGAAAGGTAAGATTTCTTTGCAGTTCTTTCTGTCTTAAGTCTGTAGCCCACTGAGGATTAGAGTCAGGGAAGAGTGATCAGAGGTCCCTGGAGAGCATTCCTTTCTCTCTGTGCTTGTGTTTCCAATTCACTTTTCAGCCAGATTCATTTGTTTCTATTTGTCTTCCATTTTATGTTTGCTTTCTCTCCTTTTTGAATATGTAAAACATTTACATGGTTCAAAAGCCAGAGCTGTGGTAAAATGTATACTCAAGGCATCCTTCTGTCCTTATCCCTCTAGCCCACCCCCAACCTGTTCAGCCTCTTATACACAACTGATTTTTAGTTTCTGTTTTAGCCTTCTAGTGGTTTCCTTTTCTGTTACTGTGGGTGTTGTTGGTTTGTGTGTGTGTGTGTGTGTGTGTGTGTGTGTGTGTGTGTGTTTTTGGGCAAAAATAAGCAAATGCTTGTTTATATTTTTGTTTCTTCTTTTTTTCTTATACAAAGTTAACATACCAAACGCACCTTTCTGCATCTTGCTCTTTTCAGTCAACAGTATATCCTAGAGTCTCACTCCGTAACAAGATTGTCTGCACTCAGTTTTGCATCTGCATAGTGCCCCATTGTGTGGGTGTTGTGCAGTTTTTTTCAGCCAGTCTGACTGATGGACATTTGGGCTGTTTCCAGGATTTTGGTATTACAAGCAATGCAATGATTAATAACCATGTGTCTCGTGTTTTCTCCTTGAGGAGCTGTGTTTTTAGGGTAGATTTCTAGGAGTTGGACTACAGGATCAAAGAGTAAATATTTCAGTGGTGTTGATAGACATAGCAAACTCCTCCCCTGCATAGACATTGTTACCTTTCTGTGTTCCCATTAGCGAGGTCAGCAATGTCTGTCATGGCCCGCTTCCTCACAGCCTTGTCGCCAGAATGAGTTGTTAAACTTTGGGATTTCTACAGTCTGATGGGTGTGAAACGATTCTCAGTGTGGTGTCGATTTACATTTTTTGTAGTGAGTGAAGCTGAGCATCTTTTTATGCTATTTTAGGGCTATTTGTCTTTTTTTCCTGGAAGCTTCTATTCATATCTTTTGTTTTCTCTCGGGCTTTTAGTCTTTTTTCCCCCCCTCTATCTCTGTTTTTGGGAGAACGCCCAGGGAAGAGACATTGAGAAGTATCATTTGGGAAGTTGGCCCAAAAAGTTCAAACTGTCTGCCTTTTTGAGCTGGAGGCCGGAACAGTGGGGGCTGGCACCATCGGCTCCTTCCTGTGCGGCTCAGGCCAGCACTAGAGCCACAGGCAGTGCGTGGGCCTGGGCTCTGCATGCGGGCCCAGGTGCTGGAGTCTTTGAAGTGACAACTGACCGTGAACACAGCCTGATGCTCTCAGAGTTGGCCCCGAGGGTGGGGTGGGTGAGGGTGTCCCTGGCCTCCATTGGTCCTGTGACTTGGCCTGGTCGCTTTGAGATGTGACACTGGGGACAGGCTAGTTGGGCATGACTTTGTTGTCAGCTCCCTTTGGTCTTTGTCCCCTCCTTACCTCTCAACCCTCTGAGATGCCCTCTCAGCTTTCCTGCTGGGGCCAGGGCAAGAGGTAGGCCGAAGCAGCTGGTCCACAACACCAATCCCCTTGGGTTCACCCTGGAGCCCTCCGTTCCCACTCTCCCTCAGCCTCACCCCCCAGTGCCAGAGCCACAGAACTCAGGCTCTGTCCTTCGTTCCAACCCACTGCCCTCACCCCTCCCACTGAAAGCACAGTCCCTCGTCTTGGGGAAACGCTGTGGGACACTGTCTGGTCATCTCTTTTGGGGACAAGGTGAGGGGAACTGAGGTCAGACTGGCTGTGAACCGAGGCTCCGGCAGGCCCGGCACATGGAGGTGCTGAGTAGGCATGAGTCCCTGTCCCTCAGAGCCCGGGGCTCCATGCAGTAGGGCCTCATAACTATCGCTCCTGGTGTTGACAGAGAAGGGAAAAATGTTCTTTTGAATGTGTTTCCTGGCATTGCTGCACCGTGCACTTTAACTGATGGTGAGTTCAGTGGCATTTTTATCAATTTAGAATTAATGACGCTGCCACCTGAAGAAGATGAGGCGGGGCACAGCCTCGTTTGCATCTATTAGTGCCCTGAGGGCTGGCTCACCCCGGGGGGGCCGCGAGGCGGTCCAGGAGCTCCAGGAGCGGGGACGGGGAGGGTGAGTGCAGGGAGGGGGTTGTGCTCTCCTAAACGGGAAGTTAAGGCTCGTCTTGGTTCTAGCTCTCGCTCTCTCTGTGTGTATCCCAGTTCTTATGGCAGGTATAGAATGTGTTTTTCCCTAATCCTGCCTGTGCAGAGTAATAAACCCTCGGCCATCTCCTCTGGCCCTTCCTTTCCACCCAGCAACGGACTGTTTTACAAGGACGTGGTGAAAACCATAAATCTTATTTTTGGAGAAGTTGATGGCATATATTGGAAAGCTACCTAGATTCCTGAACATGACTCTCCATTTTATTAATTTGGATAGTTTATGATATTTTTGATTAATGTGTTTATTGAATCATTGCTGTGATAGAAGCAGAATTAGTAATCATAACCAAAGCAGAAATCTCTTCAAAGCGTGAAGATGATGAATGAATCCAATTCCTCTTAACACTCATATGGGCCTCTTTTGGACAGGGTCTCCTGGCCTCCAGCTTAAGTACATGGTGGACCCTGGGTTCCTGAAACCCGGAGAGCAGCGCTGGTTCCTCCAGTACCTGGCCATGCAGACCCTGCAGATCGACGTCTGGGATGGGGACGCCCTGCTCCTTGTTGGCTCGGCTGCTGTCCAGATGAAGGTAGCGCATTCCCCTGCAGCGGAGCCTCGTCTAGGCAGTGTGTCCCTCGGGGGACAGCCACCATCCAAAGATGCGCATGCAGGCCATGTCGGTCTGTGCCTGGCATGGGACTGTGACTTGGCAACTCTGTTCCACAAATTAAAATCTGCCATGTTCCCTCCTTTCAGAATGGAAAAGATTGTTCACAAAATCTAAATTCTGTAATTCTAGGTGTTTACTTGGTGAACTCTTAAGATCAAAGTCAGTTATCAGTTTCTTCGACAAATTCCCAGTAATGTCATTTTCCACTCCTTGGAATGTGATGATATGAGCTCCCTGGGGAGTCCTTGGGTGGTGCAAATGGTTAATGTGCTTGGCTGCTAACCTAAAGGTTGGAGGTTCAAGTCTTCCCAGAGGCAACTTGGAAGAAAGGCCTGGTGATCCACGAAAGATTGGCTATTGAAAACCCTATAGCACAGTTCTACTCTGACACACGTAGAGTTGCAGGAGTTGGAGCCAACTCAACGGCCACTGGTTTTTAAATTCCTGAAGGCAGGTGCCATGCTGGCCTTAGTTACCACTGTGCCAGGGCCTGGCCCCCTAGAGGCTCATCTTGAGTATTGAGTGAATGATTGGATGAATGAATAAGTGATTAAATGAGGGAAGGAATGATTGGATCTAAACATATCATCTATTCCTGTTATCATTTACATGCACTGTGTTTTTCTAAGCCCTTGTCATCCACTCTCTAATATAGTAAGAATTCATTCCGTCCACTTATCCAGTATTCTTCCCGGGGTTTCTCTGAAGCCTTCTTTGTTGCATGACGGGGAACCGGAGGGTCAATGTAGATTTGACCATAGCAACTCCTGGGCCAAGGACTGGGGCCGCTTCTGCTTGCCAACGTGACATGCTGAGAATTTTCCTCTCGGCCCATGGAGGGTGGGGACGGGAGAGGACATCACAACATAATTGCAGCTCCTGAACATCTCAGATTCATCCACTTCTCTTCAATCCCCATAGCTACTTGGCCTCCCGCTCCGTTTCCCCGGCCCCCTACCCCCCAGTCCATCCTCCGCGCCAGCAGCTGGTGTGGTCATCGAATCCAGACCCAATCCTCTCACTCCTTTCCGCTTCTGGGTGGCCCTTTCTCCTGCGCCTGGACCCTCGGCCCTCACCGTGTCTGGCTGGTGTGGGGGCTCCCACACAGCGTGCTCCCACCACCCAGGCTGCGCTGGCTCACCTGTCACTCCCTCCGACCCACCAATCTGCGGCTTCCCTGGGCCTCAGTGTCCTCTTCTGTGAAGTGAGGATGTGCTATCCCTACCCCGCAGCTGAATGTGAGGAGTCCAGGCGGAAGTGAGGTGCTCAGGGCAGTGGGCGGCCCGTAGCAAGGACTCAGTGGGTGTTGGTTGTTTCAATTCCTTGTCCTTCTCCCTCGGTTCACAGCTCGCCCATGGCACAGGCCCCTGGGGTCATCATGTGTGTCTGCCTTCCACCCTGCCTGTGACGACCCCGAGGGCAGAGATGGGGTCTTATCACTGCTGTGTCTCCAGCCCTAACCCACAGTGGGCTGGGCACAAGAGGCAGATGAATAAATGAATGAGCGAGTGAATGAATGCCCAGAGCCACGCTGGTTGGTGCTTGGGGTTTATGTGTGGGGAGGGGGTGTGTGCAGAGAGGGGCCCTCGCTCTGGAGCTTCAGGGAACTGCAGTTACTCCTTCATGTCCCCAGCTGAGCTTCCACCTCCTTTGTTTGCTTTCACACCTCGAGATGGAAGTTATCTGTCTCCTCTTATACGAAGAGCTGCTTTAGCAAATGCTGCTCTATGCTTATTGACGCACAGTTTGAAAAATGAAACTTTTTAAAAATAAAAGGCTTTTAACTTTGAAACTTACATAGAAAAGGTGGAAAATTCAGATAAAAGGAAATCACCGGTAGCTCCAGATCCTGAGGTAGTTAAAATGCTGTTTATCCTTTGATAAACTTACTTGGTGCAAAGCGTAGATGCATTATAGCTTATTTCACCTACTCTCTGTCAGTTGAGCATTTCAGTAACTTTTCCCTGTTGAAAGCATTGTAGTGAACATCTTAAAGTTAAATCTTTGCACACACCTTTCAGCTTCTTCCTTGAGGACAGTGACAATGCTAGTATTACTGCGGTAAGAAAGATAGTCGCTACAGTGAGCCATTGCTCTTATGCTTCACTTCCTCACTGCAGGCCTATTAGGTAATACTGGCAGTATCCTCCTTTTCATTGGGGATCGCACCGTTAATTGTGATAAGAGCCAGGTTTTTAACCCAGCCCTGACTCTAAAACTTGTGCTCTATACCATATGCTCTCCCTCCGTGAGAAAGGGACTCTGAGTCAGAGGATGCAGATGTGAAAGCTTCTGCTATGGCAGTGGGATCAAAGCACTAGCCCCCTGGAGGAGGCTGAGGCACCTGCGCATCCACTTTCTTGCTTCATGGTATCAGCCTTTTAGAGAACCTTTGCTGTTGTGATAGGTGAGATATGATACCTGGTTTTCATTTGCATCCCTTTGCTTCCTGCTGAGGCTGGACGTTGTTTCTTACACGTATTGACCATTCTCCAAAGGCGTCTTCCCACACCCCAGCCACTGGGGTCCTTTGACCACAGAAGTGTATGCAGTTGGGCAGGCACTGTGGGGGGCACAGCTTCACGGCAGGATCTGAAGGGACCAAAAGCCCGCAGACCCACGAGGGCAGGTCTGAGTGTGCTACCTCGAGACCCGCACACTCTCTGCAGTGGGAGTGCTGCACTGCCACAGAGCCGGACCTCTGGATGCCTCTCCAGAAGGAGGGTTTGAGATAATCTCGCCTCGTGCTTCTGTTGACCTGTGAGAAAGCTCTAGTCCAGAGAGGGTGAGGGACTTCCCACAGCCACACAGCTAAGGAGTGTCCCAGCAGGGCCTGCAACCCACCTATGACTCCATGGCTGCTGCTGTGATGTTGCTGTCCCCTAGGCAGGCCTTCTGAGCCTTGGGTTCAGGTAGAGGATTTAGGGAGTGCATTTGGTTAGCAAAAAGACCACCTGGTCAGAAAGTCCTCCTGATGCTGTCCTGGATCTGGGCTGTTACTGCCCTGGATCTGGGCTGTTACTGCCTTTGTCTGCTCTGAGCAGCCTGGTCGATTTCCTTGTTCCCAAGTCACTGGCCCTAGTGTTGGGGCCTTTGCGCTGTTGCTCCCTCTCCCTGGCAGGCTCTTCCCTCTGCCTTCTCACCCTGACTCCCAAGTGACAGCTCAGGCCTTGTTCCAGGGTCAGTGCCCTGGGAAGCCTTCCTTCCCATCCACCGGCTGGCCAGGCCCTGGCCCTCAGCATTATTTCTCAGCCGTCCTGATCAGTGTCTGTCTGCTAGTAGTTTATTCCCTTTCTCTCCCCTTCTAGCTTGTTATTAGTCCCTAAGGGTAGGGACTTCGCTGGTCCTGTCCCCTGCACTGTCCCCAGGACCTGGCAGTGCCCAGTGGGCCATCATAATGACTCGTGGAGGGAAGGGCCTCTGTCCTGAGGCTGCTTGCAACCCACGGGGGACAGGCGGCTGCCTTAGTCTGTGTCTTCAGTAATCTTGTGCACACATTGCACCCCCCTTCCCTGCGCTGGTGTACCATCAAGCTGCCTCCTTCCTCTGGCGATGTCCCTCCCCTGGCTACCGGGCCCTGCTCCACAAGCACTGCTGATCGATTGACTGGGTCATTCATTCATCAGTAACACCGTGCGAGGAATCAAGACAGGGTGAGGTGGGCCGTTGTGGCTGTATTTTAGCTTGAGGGGGCAGGGAAGTCCCCTCCAAGGAGGTGACAAGCAGGCCAGTCCCTGGTTACTCTAGAGACCAGGCATTCCAGAGAGTGCAGAGCCCTGAGGCCAGAATGAACTTGGCGGGTCCAGGACCAAGGCAAGGATGGTGTGTCCCCACTGCAGCCTTCTTAGCTCGTGAAGAAGGTGCTTCATAACCTTCTAGCTCTCACAGGCCGGGTGAACTCCGAACCCTCAGTCTGGCATGGATATCCTCGCCATCCAGCCTCCACACCATGCTCAGCTTGCCTCCCTGCTGGTCCCCACGGTCCCTCTTCTGCCACACTGGAGCCCACTACTCTGTCTGGGTGTCCTCTGGCTCTGAGCCTCGGCGTGGCCTGCTGACCAGCCCCCATCCCCTTGCCCTGCAGGCTCGTCTCCATTCTGAGAGCTTCTGCAGGTCCCCTGGGGGCTCTCACGCTGCCCCAGACCTGGATCACCTGGATCTGCTCATGTTCTCTCCTGGAGGGGTAGTTCCTCCAGGGTGCTTGCCAAGCCATCTGTGCCCCTGGGGCTTAGTAGGGCTTGTGCATTGGTCAGTTTGGTTGTGTTTTATTAAAGATTTATGAAAAAGACTACCATCTGAAGGGCTCATATTCTAAGAAGTAGTGGACTTCTGCCTGATGTACAAGTTTGTGTGCTCTTTGGGTTCTTGTCCCTCCCCATGCTACACCTCCTCTTCCTCAGTGTCCTTTCTTGGTGGGTGGGGAGCTCCTTCACACCTGCAGGGGCACCTGGAGGTGGGCTGTGGCCCCGCTCTGGCTCCTGAACACATTTTTCTTATGCAGCATCTCCTCCGCCAAGGGCGGCCGGCTGTCCAGGTCTCGCATGAGCTCGAGGTGGTGGCGACGGAATACGAACAGGACGTGGTGGTGGTCAGTGGAGATGTGACCCGGTTTGGCAGCGTCAAGCCCATTGGTGTCCACACTGTGGTGAAGGGCCGGCTGCACCTGACCTTGGCGAACGTGGGTAAGAGCCTGGCATCTGTGCTGGCCCTGGGCTGTTTCCTGGGCTGTTTCCCCTGCTAAAGCATCATCTCCCTTGGGAGCAGACACATCCTGAGCATGGTCTGATACTCTTAGTAGGAATTCAGCGGGATTCCTGTTAGACTGCTCCTGAGGGTCTGACCTTGGATCCTGAGGGTCTGACCTTGGCTCCTAAGAGTCTGACCTTGGCTCCTGAAAGTCTGACCTTGGCTTCTGAGGGTCTGACCATCCTCACTAAAAGTGTGACCTTGGCCACTGAGAATCTGACCTTGGCCACTGAGAGTCGGACCTTGGCGCCTGAGCATCTGACCTTGGCCCCTGAGAGTCTGACTGGGCACTGAGTGCTGGGTGTCCCCTAGTTCATATCTGATCAGGATTTGAGACCACTAGTCAACTTGGTCTTGCATACATTTTGTTTCTTGATGCTATTCATTGGACATCTCTGTGACAGCCTTAAACAAAGTGAATAGGTTCGAAGGGAGATGTTCGTTTGGAGTACCAGCCCACAGCGCTGCTCATCAAGGAGGAGAGAGAAGGGAAGAGAAGTGCTCCTGAATGTTCGCACTCTTGGGAACAAGAGAGCATGGAAGTGCATTCTCTGAGCCTGGCTGCTTATCCGAGAAGCTGTGCCCTGACTCCCATCATCCCACAGCCTCAGCAGGGAGGGCGGGCAGGGTGGGCTGCACATGGCTCAGGATGGGTCTGCCTGGGATGTCCCAGAGGCTTTGACTGGGGCCCCTGATGCAACAGGGGCTGGTGACGGGGCTGGTGGGCAGTGGGGCGTGGGGCTGGTGGACAGAGGGGTATGGGGCTGGTGGGCAGTGGGGCGTGGGGCTCGTGGACAGAGGGGTGTTGGGCTGGGCATGCCTGCTGTGTGGTCTCAGGCCATGGGGCCAACAGGAACCCTGTGGGGTCAGTGACAAACCAGCAGGCTGTCCTCAAAGGGACTCTGGAAGGATTGAGGCTTTTTCTTGGCAACACTGAAAGCACAACAAAAAACAAGTAGGTTTCTGGAGCCCTGTCTGGATGGGAGTCAGACCTCTTTGTCATTTTATTAGGGAATTTTCCATTCCTCAAAACCCAGCCTGATTCTAAACCCTCAAGCCTCATGGGCCTCCTCCGCCTGTGCCAAGGCCCACAGCGCAGCTGCAGCTGAGGAGCCCAGAGCACACAGCTCATTAGGTCTGGTTGAGGGTGTCTGCCTGCTCGTTTACAAATGTAAAATCTGAGGCAGCTTTGAAAGTAGACAATATGGAAACAGCAAAACTCAATTAGGTCCTAGAGCCACATGTGAGCAGCGGACGTTATTCAAAAGTTTCAGCAACGGCCAGCCCAGCGTTGCAGGGAGCATTCTGCTTCCTAGACTGTGCTGGGTGTTTTTACATTTAATTCACAGCCCACAAATGTGCAGTGACTCCAGGTTCTAAAATCTTATCGGCAGAAGAAAGATTAGCTCCATTATATACTATCTTAAATTGTCATTTTCATACTTTGCCTGCAAGAGAGAGATAAGCTCGTGGGGAAGAGAGTCGGTGATACCCAGTTTGAGAGGCTCGGCTGCAGCCCTGCAGAGGGAGATTAGTCAAGGACAGACGCCGGACACAGCACACTTCGTGTCAGTGCTGCGCGCTTTGATTTCCTCAGTAAACTTTGCATTTTTTGGGGGAAAAAGAAGTGTCGTGGCCTTTATTTTTTTTATAAAATCGGTTATTATGCATTGAGCAGCAAGAGCGTGTCAGCAAATTGGATGACGACTGTGTAAGTCTCCAGGACAGCAGAGAAGGAATCACAGTGAGAACCTCGGTCCTGGACATCCAGCCTCGGCTTGACGTGGACGGCGCCCCCGTGCTTTTACCTGGAGGTCACGTTTGAGAACAAAATGGAAGCATCCGCTGCAAATGGCGCCGCCTTGGTGCCGGCCAGCTCCCCCCAGCTCCCCTGCAGATCTTCATATGGTGGTGGGACATGGCTTGGTGGCTTTTCATCTTATACAGGGTCTTTGACTTTCTAAACAGCCACTTCACAAGTTTCTTTCGATTGTCTCTTGTCGCATAGGGATTGCTGGGACCATGTTATTTTCTTTGATCCCAGGATCATGACTGAAACAAGATGACAGTCTGCTGGGAGCCCAGTTGTCACTTATCTTCTGTAGCCCCCTGGAGGGACTATCCTGGGGATGCAGGGGCTGCCCTGGCTCCCACCTCAGGTGGTGGCTCCGTAGGTCTGGGGTTCATCTTCTCAGGGGATGCATGTCAGTAAACCACATATGACATGGAGAACCATGAGCTGAAGGGCTTGGACAGATGACCAAGGGTTGGGTCAGACGCTTGGCAGGTGACGTCCGGGCTCCTGCAGAGAGTGTGGGCAGTGGCAGGGTGGCTCAGCCTGCTTGAAAGACATTCCTGCTCCTGTAGCATGGGGGAGCCCAGGTGTAACTTCCGTCTCCCTGAAGGGGCACGAGCTCTGTACCAGCTTCTGATCGTAGACCGTGCCCTGGAGGTGTGCAGCCTCTGCCCGCTGTACTGTCCTGTGTGAGCGTGCACATGCTCCTCCATGTCAGCCCAGAGCATTCCCATCATGTAAGAAATCATTGCATCTGTGTAACTATGGTCAGAGGAGGTCGTAGTGCAGCCCGCAGTGCCCCTCGTCTGTCCATGTTGTGACCCCATGATACACTGGCCACGCGCTGTGGGAATGGTCACTGTGAGCACCCTGGAGGGCAAGAGCTCCGGCAGTGCTGCCCGCTGGGCCTCAGCTGTCTAGACCCGACCCTGACCCGGCAACGGTTTCCTGGTTTCTGTCTGCCTTTCATAGGGGAACACGCTACCAGGCTTACCATGGGCCAGTGGTCATTTCTGTTAGATGTGGGTGGACCAGAGTCCTCCTCACCACAACTTATTGGGTCATGGTGGCCGAGAAAGCTACAGAAGATCCCCAGGCCTCCCTCAGGGTGGAATGAACCTTGTTGCTACCTGAGGGTATGGGTAGGTGGCCATATGCTGGCGACACTACCAGGTGACTAGGCGGCTCACTCCTTCTTGGCGCGGAATGGAACAGAGAACTGGCCAAGATGTGCCAGCCCTGCAAGAGTCACCAGCCTGCTGCAGATTCCTGCAGGAAGAAGCAGCACAGAGAGCAAGACACCTGGACTGCCTGGGGTTGGTTGTGGGTAGGAAACTGAAGGACTGGGGTCCAGGTGGAAGGCTGTGAGTGTCAGTGCCCTCTGTCCCTTCGACACCTGGCTTTTGCCTATGCTGTCCCCTCGCACATCTGGGACTCCCTGAGGCCTCTGACCATTTCCTGCTTGTTGTGATGTTTGCCGGGACCTGCCCAATGGTGGAGAGATGACCGAGTGGGCTGCTGAACGGGCAAGTCCGAGTTTCCATCTTGCTCCGGAATGTATTCTTTGACTTAGAAGATAAACAGGCCACGAGAGGTGGACAGCCGTCTGTGCACAGGGTGCTGGCACCCAGGGTTGGTTTCTTCAGGATGGGATCACGGCACTTTGATGATGAGCTGCTGTCAGGGTCAGATGGCCCCAAAGAGGTGAGAAGATGTGTTTTGGCCTAAATATCAAGGCTTTATGCTTTAATTGGAAGGGGAAGATGGAAAACTCCAGTACAGAGTGTAAAAGCGGAGGAGGAAAGTTGGTGAGTGGGGCAGACAGAGGAGAGTTCCTTGGGGTTCTCAGGAGGAAGCAGCAAGGACAAGGCTGAGGACAGCTCTTCCCTGAACACTTGTCCCAAGAAGGCAGTGTGGGCAGGCAGGAGTGGGCATGTAGGTGCCTGTGAGCAGCCCATGACCCCAATGCTGGAAGCACACACAGGCGTCTGAGGTGGGTGACAGGAGCGAAGCCGTGCCTTCATGAATGCGTAAGTGGGCTTCTGAAGAGATGGGGTGCCTGTGCTGTACCCTAACACATTATAAACTGACCCAGAGGTACACAGAACAGAAGAGTGAGGGATGCCACTACTGGGGCCCTGGCTGGAACTGTGTGCCCAGCACCGAGCTCCCACTTGAAAACTGCAGCCTCCCTAGCAGCCACGGAGCCTACCACTCGGAGCTTTCCCCGTGGCCAAGGGCAGGCAGGTGGACCAGAAGAGAGGAAGAAGATGCTGAGCTGAGTGGGGCCTGCACCCTCCCCCACCCCCAGGGCAGAGGGAGGGGGGGAGGGGAGGGGAGGTAGAGGGGCTGAGATAGAACCCAGGGAGGGGGCTCCAGCTTCTGTCAGCTCCCAGGAAGGCCGCCATGACACCCCTTTGTCTGTAAGTACTCAGCACTACCTCGTTGGGAGTGGGGTGAACAGTGCCTGCATCCTGCATTTGAGACTGTGTGGTTCATGTGTAATGTGCCATTAGGTGTCCTCTGCCTTACCCCAGATAGGAGTGAAAGGTACACTGAGAAGTAGTGAGTCCCAAGGTGGGGGCTCTGTGGAGGCAGGGGAAGCCTGCCTGGGGCCCTGGCCCGCTGGCTAAATTGAGCAGGTGCCGCTGGCAGCCAGCCCAAGGAGAACATGTCAGACACATGTTTATCCCATTAAAGCAGCATTGCTTCTCTTCAAAGGTCTCTTTTATGAAAACAGCTTCAGCGAAGATTTCACTTGTTTAGCATCTTTTACAGTTAAGTGTATCTGGAGTCAGACACTGCCGTGTGGAAGTGCACGAAGGCCTTCCCCTAACAGTATGGTGGTCAAAAGCCTGGGTTTAGAGTCTAGGAAACACTGCATGTTGTGAGGCTACTAGGGTTGATCTAGAGACCAGCAAATAAGACTCAAAGTTAGCGCCCTGAGCATCACGTGGTCTAATCCATCCTGGGGAAGCAGGGCTGCTGCTGAGAGTCTGAAAACTGGAGATGGAAATGTTCCAATGAAAATAAGCCCCGCTGTCACCTCTCAGTTGCCAACCAAATGTAGAATAGAGTGGGATCACGGGACACTGGTATATCAGAGGGCACACACGGGACATTTGGGAGCTAGAACCCCATGGGGAATTATATTGGTGAGTCTAATATTGCCAGACTCTTTTGGGGTATTAATATTTTATGCCGGGTGTGTGTTTTAGGTCATGTGTGTGAGCAGAGGGTGAGACATTCCAACTCGTTGCCACCATCCAGATCGAGGGTCATCTCCAACGACGGGACCAGCAGCTTCCCAGGAGGCAGCCTCCTCATGAAGGGATCCCTGAGATGTGAGTAGGGGGCTGGGTGGGAATGGGGAGAGTAGGCAGGTGGCTGAGGATGGGAAATAGTGTATGTGTGTGTGTGAGTGGGCGGTGGTGGGTGGCTGATACCGCTTTGGTGAGAACGAGGCTGCCTGGCCCCAGGCCCAGGGCCCTGCCTCAGTGGCCCTACTGGCCTGCTGGTCACATATGCTCACTCCACGGATCAAACCCAGCACCCTAGTTGGGGTCTGTGGAAACGTGGCTGTGTGACTTTCATAGAGAAGTTGTCCTCCTCCAAGTGGTATATGTTTTTGGTTAGCTGCTCCTCTGCCGAGGAAGAAAAAATGAAAAAGTCAGGAAGAACATAGACTGATTTTTCAAAACTAATTTGAGACTCCTCGTGTTGGGAGGAGGAGGACTAAACCAATTATTAAGGTTGGGAAATGAAGAACTTGGTTTGGTAAACATATTCTCCACAGCAGGGAAGCTCTGAAGTGTTTCTGTCCCCTTAAAATGACCCCACAGTCTTGAATATTAAATACTTGTCATTGAATTGAAAGTGGGAAGTGCACTTTAAGTAGCATTTACCCAAATGTTGCAGATCATCTTGTACGAATCCAGAGCTGCCATGAGCTTTCTTGTGTTGCTGGGCTGCTGGCTTTGCTGGCTTTACTGCATGCTCCAGGAGGGAGAGTCAGACTGGGTCTTCTTAGAACCAGAAGGGCCTTGGGGACCATCTTGTCCTTGGACCTCTGACCAGGCGTGCGGGTCCTTAGAAGGACTTGAGGATCCCACAAGTTCCCTGAAGCCCCAGGCAGAACTTTGAGGGTCCTCACACATTCTACTGGGGATGGGGGCTCTGTATGTTCAGGTTCTCCAAAGGGTTGACAGTCTGTCCTGGCCCAGCGTCCTCATGTTAATATTGAAGAAACAAAGGCAGAGAGAGGCTAGCTGACCTGCTCATTTACCTAGTTGGAGGCAGCGGACTAGAACCTGGATTTCCTGCTTTGGGGTCCATGTGTCTCCATCCCAGCTGGCCCCAGCAAGGCCTCTGACTGCCGGGAGAATGGAGTATTGTTTCCCCAGAGTGGAGGGAGTTGAGGCAGCCCAACACTCCAAGAACAAGGCTGAGGTTATATGTGAAACCCACAGCTGTGGGGCCCAGCAGGTCAGGGTGTCAGCACAGGAATCCAGAACCATGAGTCTCTGAGGCTGGTCCTCCATCCCCTCCTTTGATCAAAACCACTGGGTGGGGCTCTGGAATTAAGAAGTGTGAAATTTAAAGAGCGCCTCAGGGCTTCCTGGCTCTCAGTGAGTATAGCCCCATACTGTCATTCTAAAATGTTGTTTCTGGTTTCACAGAACTAGGAGAGCAGTAAGAAGGGGTGACTGCAGGACTGTGGGCTGAGGCAATTCCGCCCCAGAGACGGGCAAAATGTTCATTTGGGGTGGCCATTTAAGATGCCACAACCAACTCATGTCATCTGAAAAGCAATTAAATGGCTTTAAAATAGAGTGGTGGCAGGGAACCTGGAAATAGCACTTGTTTACGTGTAACTGAGGAAGAGGTGGGTGAATGAGGGGAGAAAGATGGTGTCATCACAGGCGGAAGCATCAGCATGCGGCTGTGGGTGTAGATGAGAGAACATGGGAGCCGGAAGAGGATCCACAGTGGCGTTTGGTACCTAAGGGCCAGGAAGGACCCCATGCCTAGGTTGGGACATCCCTTCTCACTTGCCCTGCCCACGCTGGTTGAGTGACTGTCCTGGGACCTAATGTGTCAGCTGTGACGTGGAAGGTGTGGCGTGTGGCCTAGCCCCAAGCACAGCTCCATTGGTGCCATAAGCCCAGCGCTGGGTCGTGCAGAAGAGAACCCAGCAGTGTCCTGGGGTGGTTGGTCTTCTGCCTGCCGAAGCCAGGCCCCCTTTGGGTTCTTTGATCAGCTAAAAGGCTTCCGTGTGTGCCCAGAGTTTTGTGGAGTGGCCCCAAAGGAAACAGGCTGCCCTGGAGGCCAGAGTCCGGGGGCCGCACATGAAAAGCCTGAGGTGAGTGCTAGGGCCGGGCCCAGCTTATTTCTATTTAGCGCAGCTGCGGAGGTGTTGGGCCAGGGGCACAAGCTCTTGGGGCCTCTGATTCCTTACCAGGACTTGGAGCTATTGACATCCCACATGGGGGTGTCTGAGAGCATGGATGGGGCCTCGGGTACAATGGGTGTGGGTGCCCTTGGCACCTCTCCTGTCTCCGGAGGAGCTGGGCATATTGGCAGAGAGGGGTAGGCCTGGGTGCAGGTGTGAAGCAGGACCTGTAAAACTCCTGAAAGTGTGAGGTCCTGGAGTCCTGACTTTTTTCCCTAGAAAGCCACGCAATGGTGTATTAATGAATGCACGTCTAAATTTCCAGACCAGAAGGGCCCTCATGTTAGTGGCTGGCACGGGAGGGACTGTGGAGGTGAGGTTTATGTTAGAGGGTGGCACAGCAATGGCTGTGGAGATGAGGTTTATGTTGGAGGCTGGCATAGGAGGGGCTGTGGAGGTGGGGTTTATATTGGAGGCTGGCTTGGGAGGGGCTGTGGAGGTGAGGTTTATGTGGAAGGCTGGCACGGGAGGGGCTGTGGAGGTGAGGTTTATGTGGGAGGCTGGCACGGGAGGGGCTGTGGAGGTGAGGTTTATGTGGGAGGCTGGCACGGGAGGGGCTGTGGAGGTGAGGTTTATGTGGGAGGCTGGCACGGGAGGGGCTGTGGAGGTGAGGTTTATGTGGGAGGCTGGCACGGGAGGGGCTGTGGAGGTGAGGTTTATGTGGGAGGCTGGCACGGGAGGGGCTGTGGAGGTGAGGTTTATGTGGGAGGCTGGCACGGGAGGGGCTGTGGAGGTCAGTGTGGACAGTTGCCTCTTTACCAGCATCCGAGAAAAACCTAGATCTGACCCACAGGAAGGCTCCAAGGCTCTCTGGGACTCCCTTCCGGGATGAAGTCTTCTGGGAGGCTTGTCACCTAATGAGCACACCTGTATGTGCTGATCTCTGACTCTTTCTTTGCACCTTCCAGCAGGAAAACGTGTGGTCCAGGCCCAGAAACTGGCTAACGTGGACAGTGAGCTGGCTGCCATGCTGTTCACCCACATGCAGATGGGGAGCCGGAACCCCCAGAGTGCTGGCCGCGAGGCAGATGCTGTCCGCAGGCGCAAGCTGGAGAGAATGCAGTCGGTGCGCCTGCGGGAGGCCAGAGGAGAGCTTGGCGGCCAGAGGAGCAGTGTGCTGGTGAGGGATACAGTGTGGGGGTGGGCTGCGTGCAAGGGAGGGCCGTGTGTGGGGAGGGTTGCGTGCCAGGAGGCTGGGCAGCCAGATAGACCACTCCGCACCCTTGCGGTGGACCACACTGAGGGCAGAGAGAGAGAACCCCACATGGAAGTGAGGAGGGGTGAGGCTTGGGGAGGAGGCTGCCCCACCAGTGGGACCCACCCCCAGAGCTGGAGGTGGACCAGTCCCTCAAACCACATGGTGGAGAATGGGAGGGGTGGCTCCTGGAGCACCCAGGACCCTGCACCCGGTCAGCCCCCGTGTCTGCCCCTGCCCCACAGGCTCAGCAGAGTGTCCGAGCACAGCACTTGCGGGACCTGCAGGTCATTGAGGCCTACCGCGAGCGCACGAAGGCCGAGGGCATCGCCAGCCTGCTGAGCCTGGCCATCACCACCCAGCACACACTATACACCTCCCTGGGCACCGCCGAGTTTTTCGAGTTTGCCCTTAAGAACCCTCACAACACGCAGCACACGGTGACCGTGGAGATTGACAACCCTGAACTCAGGTGGGCGCGTGAGCCCCTCCCCCGCCACCCAGGGGGAGGCAGCTTTGTGTTGTGGGCTGACTGTGGACTTCCGGCTGAGCTGTTTTTCATGTCACTTAGGCCAGGCTGATTTAGGCTTTCTACCACTGCTCTAGACCCTGGGTGGTACAGATGGTTTAACATGCTTGCTGCTAACCAAAGGTTGGCAGTTCAAGTTCACCCAGAGGTGCCTCGGAAGAAAGGCCTAACGTTCTACTTCCAAAAAATCAGCCACTGAAAACCCTGTGGAGCACAGTTCTACTCTGACACACATGGGGTGGTTATGAGTCTGAGCTGACACCACGGCACCTGGTTACCGCTGCTCTGAGTACTGGCCTCAGGTGAGTGGGGTGTAGTCTGCCTGCACGGGACTGGCTCGGGAGAATGAGTATTTATGCCTCAAGCTCCGTCTCCCCGTCTCCCTCCAGCGTCATCCTGGACAGCAGGGAATGGCGGCACTTCAAAGATGCGGCTGGCCTGCTCACGCCAGTGGAGGAGGACATGTTCCACCTGCGTGGTGGCGGCCTGGCCCCCCAGCTGTACCTGCGCCCCAAGGAGACCGCCCACATCCCCTTCAAGTACCAGACTTTCTCTCTTGGTCAGCCGGCTGCAACACAGGTGGGGGCGCTCTTCTCCCACGCATTAAGGGGGCTTGTCACCAAGTACCCTGGGGCAAGTTCCATCTGGCCAGTGAGGGTGGGACACCGAGACCTTTGCATTATTTGTACATTTCCTCCCGTGCCTGGGGTAGCCATGGTTTGCTTAGCCATCGTTGGTTCCACTTGTTCAGTGAGAGTTTCTTGGGTGCCTGCTCTGTGCTCACAGCCCAGGTGGTGGGTGTCAGGACAGGTCAGCTGGCCTTCTCTTAATTATCTGCACTTAATTGGTAAAGGAGCCTTTTCTTACATCTCACTAGGGCTAATGGGCTAGAATTCTCCAGCATTTTTCACTCTCCAGTTAATGCTGTTTTTTCTCTACAAATGCAAAGACTCCTAGGTTTCGCTTAAAGGCCGTGTATGTGAAGTGTGTGAGGGGGGTGGGACAGATTTTGGGGGCACCCAGAATACATGTGTCTCCTTATTTATTGGCCTCTTGAGGCCACTTCTTCAGGGTAATCATTGTCACTTCAGATGGGCTTGTGGAGTTCCCAAAGACTTGAAGATCTCAATGCTGGCCCGTTGGGTGCCCTTTCTGGAGAAGCGGCTGCGTAGGGCAGTGGCAGACCTGGGCTGCATGTTGGACCTGTCTTTTGTTAGCTGAGTGACCTTGGGCTGGGTGGCTAATCAGAGCAGCTGCCCCTGAGAGCTACTGGGAGAAGTAAATGAGATACTGTGCCCGGCCCCCGAGTCCAGTGCCACCCGGCGCAGCACCCTGCACTGTGGCAGCTGTGATTTCAAGTAGAAGCACTCATCACCAGCGACCCCACCTTGACCTGCTTGTGCTGGTTGGTTTCCATAGGCCTCTGCTGAACTGAGGCCCGAGCAGGGCGTGGACACCGAACCTCCCTGGAAGTCTAGTGCAGCGCCCACGAAACATGCTAAGGTAGGTGGGTGGAGGGAGCAGACACCGAGTCCAGGTGTTCTGTGGTCTTGGGGACTTGTGAGCGGGTCCGAAAGAAGTGGATCATGACTCCCTCTTAGCTCTCCCATGGGCCTTTGTCCGCCTGGCCCCTTGTGCTTCTATGTCTCTCCTAGAAGAGGGCCCGGGGCTGAGGGTCTAGGGCCAGGGTGGGGGCAGAGGGTGCCCAGAAGTGGGTTTTTCTTTTTCATGGTAGTCGTGGCAGTGATAGCTTCACCCAGATGCTGTTACAGCCTCCTGAGTGGGTGGGTTGTCCTGGAAGCATCTCCTGCCACCTGCCTTGCAGCCCTTTGTTGCTCTGCTGCAAAGGCCAGTGTGGCCGTGAGGGCTGCAGGCACTCGGCCCTCGAGGCACAGCTGTGTCAAAGTGTGCAGCACTTCTGGGCCTGGCCCACAGCCTTACCAAGTGGCACAGAGTCAGCACAGTCTGTGTGAGCTTGTCACTTCCGGGAAATAAGACTTGGCCCTGGATTAAGGTGGTGCCCATAAGGCTCTACTTCTCAGTGTTTGCTGTAGGGATGTCCTGAGAAGGAGCTTGGTCCCTGCCGTTTTATAAGAACTTCTGAAGAGATTTTAATTATTTGGGGAAAAAAATACCTTTTGTAGTAGTTTGAAAGTTAAAAGAAATCAACAACTCTCCTTTGCACAGACATTGCCCACACCTGCCCCTGCCCCAGACTGAGGCCGCGCCCGTGCAGCTCTGCTTTCCAGTCTGGCCCTGACAGCAGCCCCGGCCGGCTCTGGGCCTACCAAGTCCAGCACCGGTGAAAACTTGCTTTATTCTATTTAAATGTGGAGCTGTGGTGTGGCCTTTAGTCTAAGGAGTATGTCTGTTCTTTATTTACCACTGTAGATTAAATTTGAGAAGCTAGTGTTTTTTTCTTATGTCAATTTGGAATTTTAAGCCAAATCCTAGCAATCTTACCAGTTGACCTATGATTATATCAGTGTACATCTTTAACAGATAAGGACTTTTCTTAACCTCAGAACCACTGTCATTGCCCCAGTGAACAACCAGTCCTTGGTATCAGCTGATGTTTGCTCCATGCTTACTTTCTCTGCTGGCCTTTCTGCAGTTGGTGTGTTTGGGTCAGGATCCCTGTCCCCATCACTCTCTCTATGGAGTCTATGTGGACCAGCCACCTGTGGAGGCCTCAGTAGCCAGTGTCCTGCTGGGCTCAGGGGCCGTCACCTGATGCATCTGTTACACGTTCTCCACCAACAGTCCACCTGACGCTCCACTGCCCACACTGTTATTCCATCAGGGGTTGGGAAGGGGAATGTCCAGTTCTGTCATTCTTCCTGCCTTTCCTATCTGTGACTCTTCTGTAAAAACAGGAGCTTTTTCCCGTCAGCATTTGCTCCCTGAAATAGACTTTGTGCAAGAAAGGATAGATGTTTCTTTCCCTTTATTTATCAATTTTCACAATAATGAGTTGTGGCCTAGCAACCTCCAACGATGACTGATTGTTTGGCATCTCACTGTGAACTTGGGTTTTGTCCTTGATGTGTTTCTCAGGCTGTGGCGGTTGCTTTTCTTCAGAGCTAAGACCATCTTTCTGGCCAGTGGGATTCTTTTCCAGTGAGCTCCTGAGCCTTTAAGTTCAAACTTCAAAAAAAGTTGTAAGAATAGTGCGAAGACTTTCTATGTATCATTTACCCGTATGTCCCAATTATTAACTTTTTACCACATTTGCCTTATCACTTTCTGTATTTATGTATATTTTTTTCCTGAACAATTTGAGGATGAGTTATTGACATAATGCTCCAATTCTTCATGAAATGTAACGTTTGTATGCCCTCAAAATAGGACACTCTTCTGCATAGCCACAGCAGAGCCATCAAATGAGGACTAAGTCTCATATAATCTCATTTCTAGGCCCCATCTACAATCCGCCAGTCACCCCACAATACTATTACAGGTCTGGGGTCTAGTCCAGGCTCACACCGTGTGATGTGATCATGTTTTGCAGCCCCTTTCCATCTGGTACATGCCCCCCTCCCCCGCCTAGTCTTCCTTGTCCTTCATAGCCTTGATGTTTTCAAAGAGTTGTTGTTGTCCCATCGAGTTGGTTCCAACTCACAGCAACCCTATGCACAACAGAATGAAACACTTCCCGGTCCTGCACCATCCTCACAATCGTTGTTATGCTTAAGCTCAT